AATTTCAGATTTGGAGTTATATCAAATGATGTTGTTTGGTGTAATATCTTCTATAGCAGATAATTTTCCTGATTTATCAAAAAATAAAATTCCAAAAAAACCCATTATTAAAGAAGAACCAGATGTTGAAAAAATAGAAGTAGAATTTTCAGAATTAAATGTTGTTAAAGAGATGGTAGGTGTTACTATTGGAACGATTCAACCTATAAATTTTGATTCAGCAAGAGAAAGACAACGTGGAAAATACAATGAGTAGATAAGAATATTAAAGAGTATGGAAGATGAAATGAATATTAATAACTTTGAAGATGGAAATAATTGGGATCAAGTGATACAATATTTTGATTGGAGTATATTACTAAATAATTATCAACAGATGACACAATTGTATCGTATGACATTATATTATAAAAAAATGTTAGAAAGAGTTCCCGCGAATCTACAAATAACTTATCAATATATTCAAAATATATTAATAATCAATGAGATTAAACCATATAAAAAAAAAGAAGACATAATAGTAAGAAAATTAAATCTTGTTAAATGGATGTTTCAACAAATACATGGTGGTTTTGTTGCGACTAAAATAGTTGATGATGCAAAAAATTTATATGATAGATGGAATGTTTACATTTTATCTAATATAGAAGATGATAATTATTTTCAGTATAAAAGTAAAACAGAAGAATATTTAGCAATGATATTTGCAGAATGGATTAAATATAATGTAGTGTCGGGAACAGATTTACCACCTGGTATTCCAGATGCGATTGCTGGAGCTCGTAGAAAATGAGAAGAAGATAGTGATAATGATTCTGGAAGAAGTAAAGCTAAAGAAAGAATTTTATAAATAGTATAAATAGTCTCATTATTCATTTTCTTTTTTTTTAATAGAAGCTTCTTTTTTATAGAAGATTACATTTTTATTAGTTAGTATTTTTTTATTTTTATCAATAGTAATTGAAATATCAATTATACATTCTATATATCAACCAAATTATAATTTATTTTT